GTCTCATTACTGATGACTGTTGATACTAAATTGCGTTTGGTTTCGCGGTTCCAAAAATTTCGCAAACGAAGTGTTGACCGTTTGGTATTCTTAACCGTACTTTCATTAGAAAATATGCGATTTCGAATCTGCTTATATTCGCGCCACCTTTCGTGTAGCGGTCTAATGGGGAAAATTGGTTTATCGTGTGTACATCTATTAGGTCGTTTTGCAAGAATTTTAATGTTGTCAAAATTGGAGTATTCCGAGCTAATCGGTATTAAATTCGCCTCGCTAGCTGATGAACTTAAGAAACCATTCGCGTATCGAATGGCTTCGTTATTAAGTTTTTTGATTTTTTTGCCAAACACCGTGTACACTGTGGCTTGTACACGTTCTTTTCGCCGCAGTCGTAGCAGAAAATCGTACGTTCTTGCAAACACATATCCCATGTATGGCCATTACCGTTACAATTCCAACATACTATCACTCTATCGCTACCTTGTACAGCGTTAACTTCTGCTTCGGCTTCCGCTACTGTCTCTCTATATGCGTCTGTCTACGATTCTGTTGTGTTATATAACATAGAAATATCCTGTCTTGGCAAATTCGACGCAGAGCTTCGGGCTTGCTGTGGGCGTTTGAAACTCTCTTCGCTTAACAACTTTTCCCGCATATGACACAGCTTGCGTAAGTGTGCAATCGAATGGATGGGCACATAAATCAACTCATGCCGGATATCCGGACGTAAGTTTCGGGTTATCATTTCAATAATCTCCGATTCCTCAATGGGATGAACTAATCGATCAATTATGGAAGTGATGGCGTCATAGAAAACTTCAAACGATTCATTTAACTTCTGCTTCCTATTGCGGACTTCTTCTAAAATCTCATATCGAGTACGATAATCTTTAAATTGGTAACGTAGAGCTGAGCAAAAGGATGACCATTCAATTCTTGGTATTTGTTTATGGTACCTCCAGTACCAATCTTTTGCTCTGCCGTTAAGCAAAACGTGTAAATTTTTGCACACTAATTCGAAATTATTATTGAGGCTTTCAGCAGTCAGAGATCTTATTCGATACAAAAATTCCTCACAGTTTAAGCCGGATGTGGACCCGTCATATTTGACATTCCAATTTTGGATGGTCATTGTAACTTTGTCAGGCCTCATGGCTGACTGTGAGTCCGATAACCGTGCATATTGTTGTTCTAACTGACGAGTATTTACAGGGTCTCGGTTCAAATGGTCGTTAGTGACAGATCCAGTTGATCTTGCAGCAGAAGCGTTCGTTTGCATATTCATATTTGATAGACATCTAGTAAGACTTGCTTCTATCATTTGCGAGATTTGTTGTAAATTAACATTGCTGTTGTTGCTGTAATTCGAATTATTTCGCCGATTACGTTTAAAATAAGTATTACGATTTTGATTACTACTTCTGGAATTTGGGGGAGCCGGAGTTTCTCCGTGCTGATGAATGGGTAAAGGTTGAGTTCCCCCAGCAGATGAGGAATTATTATTGGCTACTGTTTCGTCAATACGCCTACTTTGAGAACGTGTGTAATAACGATTAGGTCCTCGCGGACTGTTTAGATTCCCTGTGGAGAAAATCTCTAGTTCTGAACTGGTGCGCTTATAGTACATTTAGACCCAGTACTGGTTCGTGATAAATCTCTTTTGCATGCAAGTAACTGGCGAATTTAACATGACGATGTCCTAGGAAGTATCAATTGCCCCCGCTGCATCCCTTGTTCGATAGTTCTGAACTAGTCCTAAATTCTATAGTTCCGAACCAGTTCTAAAATCGACAGACGAAAGAAAAAAGTATCATGATTTTTCCATCCTTTTGGTTCTTCTGTGTGTGCGATTTTAAGTTATTTTGGAAGAAATGTGTTTTCAATTTGAAATTAAATTTGTTTGAATGATTGTAAGAAATGTACGTTTACGTACCCTTTAGCTGTATCTGAGTTTGCAGAGGTGCCCGGTGTTATTTCTTAGATTCCAGACTGTCCCAAGATGTTGAAATGTTAACACAAATTTTAGTTTTGTTTTACCAAGCTATGAAAAAGCATCTGCGAAGCACAGAATAGAAGCGTATTTGAACGAAAGAGCCGCCGAACACATATCTATGTAAAGTAAACAAGCCCCCCGCTGCATCCCTTATTCGATAGTTCAGAACTAGTTCTAAATTCGACAAATAAGATCTAGTTCGTTCTGCATCCCTTTTTCTATAGTTCCGAACAATTTCTAAATTCGTCACTTTAGATATAGATTTCTAGTGAGAATGAAAAAATTAGTTTTTAAAAAGTAACACTTTTCGCCGTTTTTTGACTGGTGGGCATCTAGTTCCTATCAGACTAGTTCCTTTTTGGCGATAAAGACCTAGTACGGAACAAGAAATTTGATTCACTAGTCCGCGGTTTCCCTACAGGGTTGTATTGGCTATTATTCATTGAATGATTGGCATTGTTGTCATTCGTAGCAATGGGAATGGAAATTGATTGTAAGTCCCGCAAATAGCATGTTCGTTTACAGCACGGACATTCCGAGGAAGTTAGTACCCAGGATTTAATACAATCAGCGTGGTACATGTGTTTGCAGCTGGTAATTAAACATTCTTGACTACTTTGTAATGGTTGTATGCATACAGCACATGCGCGGTCTGTAGCGCCTGCTGAAAGTTCAGCAATATTATCCTGGCTTCTAAAAACCGCCATAATGAAAATAACGTTTCAGAAAACTAAATACAAAATATAAATCTTAAACAAACGTTTCCTTTTCTTGGTGAGAAGTGGTGATAGGCAAAGGTGGTGAGTGAGATATAGGATATTTAGGGGAGCTATTGCAAATAACACTACTTGATTTCGAAATACGCGGTTGGATTTTGGGCGTGTAACAAGACGGACTATTATTGCAAATTCTGCTTATGAATAGTTTTCCAGTAAAGTACCTGGTCAACCGAAAATTTTCATTCCACATCAATGATTTATCCAAATAGAATGTTTGTGTCTAAATAAGAAAAATTAATTGGTACTTAAAGAAAATTAAATTTTTGGAAAATCAACCTAAAGTTCCAAAACCATTCTGATTGCCTGCGGTCGTTCTATTCGGTCAATCCCAATTAGACGAAAGTCCAGCGCGGTGCATCCTGGTATTAAACAACTAGGTGACCCGTGTGATCTTACTAATATTATAAATGTGAAAGTTTGTATGTTTGGATGTTTGGGAAATCATCACGCGGAAACGACTAAACGGATTTGCATGAGATTTTTTACACAGATAGCTTATGGGCCAGATTGGTTAATAGGCTATTTTTTTAAGAGTTGCCACCTATTAAAAAGTTTAATTTATTTAATATGAGGGAACGACTGAATGGATTTGCATGAAAATTTGCACACAGATAGCTTATGACCTACAGTGGAAAATAGGCTACTTTTCTTAAGAGTTACCACCTGTTAAAAAAGTTTCATTAAATTAATGCGGAAACGACTGAATGGATTTGCATGCAATTTTGCAAGCAGATAGCTTATGACCTAGGTTAGAAAGTAGGCTACCTTTTTTTAAAAGTTGCCACCTGTTAGAAATGTTTAATTTAATTAATACGCGGAAATGAGTGAACTGATTTGCATGGAAGTTTTCACACAGATAGCTCATGACCTAGGTTGAAAAATAGGCTACTTTTTTTAAGAGTTACCACCTGTCAAAAAAGTTTAATTAAATAAATACGCGGAAAAGTCTGAACGGATTTGCATGAAATTTTGCAAGCAGATAGCTTATGACCTACAGTGGAAAATCGGCTAATTTTTTTTAAGAGTTGCCATTTCATGACATTTCGCACAGAGATAGCTTATGACGTATGTTGGAAAATAGGCTACTATTTTAAGAGTTATCACGTATTAGGAAAGTTTAATTAAATTAATACGCGTAAATGACTGAACTGATTTGCATGAAAGTTTGCACACAGATAGCTTATGACCTAGACTGGAAAATATGTTACTTTTTTAAGAATTGCCACCTGTTTGAAAATGAAATTTTGCTCAAAGATGGTTTATGACCTGGAATGAAAAACAGGCTACTTCCTTAACCGGTTTTCCGATCAGAACGAAATTTAGTACACTTACTACGGATTTCGGAAGGATGGTCATAGATTGAAAGTAAGTCCGATAACTCAAGGCCCCTCCCATACAAATTGAAATTTTCATATTACGTACATATCTCTGGAAGTATTTTGTGGGAGAGAACTGAAACTTGGTATAGTGATATCTATGTGAAATCAATGATGGCATTAATCGATTGATGTTTTAATCAGTTAGTTAATACGATTAAATTCAATCTGATTACAGTTAATCATAATTAATTTTAATCTGACTAAATAGTTAATCGTGACCGCGATTCAAAAACTAATTTTTAATCATTAACTCTTAATTTGATCAAGTAGGTTTGGTGATTAATTAAGTTATGCTGGAATTTCCCTGTGCATACAAAGCAAGTTAATCCGGAATGGCTAAGTCGGGTTTTCTCATCCATCTAAGCAATTTGATGTGCATTTTCATTAAGATATATACCAACAAACGTTTTACAAACTAGGATTGTAAAAGTTCCCAGTTTATGTATTACTAATAACAATAATTATGATTTTTTTATATTATGTGCTTTTTATAAGCGCAAAACACAAAATAATTACTATAACTGGTGTTTCGTTTCAAACTCGGACAAACTAGACAAGTTAATCAGATTTTATTTTTAATTGGATTAACGATTAATGTTTTAAATTAATTAAACGTAATCGCAGCCAGCGATTAACGATTCAAAAAATGTTATCATTAATCGTACAGTTGATAACGACTAATTAATTTTAATCGTCAAACGCGATTAACATTTTACTCGGTAATTTTTAATCGTTAATCAGATTAACAGTTTTCCAACACTGTATGAAATCAGGTTCATATTGACGGAGAAAAATGGACGTTTGTGGAAAAGAGGCGTAGCACCTCCCATACTGACTGAAAGTTTCATATTGCATATCCCTTCAAATGTTTGGGGTAAAGTACTCAAAGTTGGTATGGAAATACATATGTATGTATGTATCTGAAACGAATACCATACTCATGGAGAAAAATTTGTGGATTATTTTTGTATGCTGCATATCTCTGGAGGTGTTTATTGCAGAGGACGGGAACTTGGCACCGAGATGTGTATACAAAATTAATTCCATACTCAAAAATTTGCGTTATTCGGAAAGGCGGCATGGTAGCTCCCGTACAAATTTACTTTTATACTGCATATCTCTAGAGGTGTTCATGGTAGAGTACTGGACTTGATACTGGGATATGTAAAATCAATTCTAAATTCATGAAAGAAGATTAGGGTTATAAGAAAAAGGGGCTTGGCACTTTCTGTGCAAATTGACCTTTTCTTGCCACATATCCCTGGAAGTGTTTGTGGAAGAATATTGGAACTTGGTATGGAGTTGTGTATACAAAATGTTTCAATTGCTCATAGAAAAAATGTGAGTTATTAAAAAAGGAGGCATGTCGCCTCCCATACATACTAAAAATTTCTTAATACATATCTCTGGAAGGATAGAAAATCTTTGGAAGTATTTTAAATTTGTTATGGAGATTTATTTTATAAGTGCCGTAATGATAGAAAAAAAATCATTAAATGGAAAAGGGAGAGCCGGGTTCGGCCTTATAATCTAAAGCTCTCTTGAGGCATTTGCTACAGTAATGAGAAGTGGTATTTTATCAAGGCCAGGTTACTAAATTTGAGTTGGAAATATTAGAACCCGCCGTGGCACCTCCAAGAAGGTTACATGTTTACGCGTCGTATACCTGGAACCATTGTAAGGTAAACTTAGAGGGATTGATCTCTTTCGTATGCCTAGCGCGCAGAAAGGATTTTATAATTTCATAGTTTTAAACGGCCTAAATACCTTAACTCGCTTAAAAAGTAACGAGCTATAACGAAATGGGCACAGAAATAAAATCTAACATCATTAAATTATTTTTTATATTTGTATAAAAGCGCGGGGTGAAACCCGCGGGTATAAGCTAGTAATTTGTATAAAGGTGGGCTAGTTACTGACTCTACTTTAAACTAACTACACAAAAAAAACTTGATGTCAATGAATCGCAAGCTTGCCCCACGTTGGGCGCCATTTATGTAATGTACCGATGGACTGGATGATTTCAATTAAATAATAATGCGAAAACACCACT